AATCACAAGAATTTTACAACAGAGGGATTAAAATACTTCCTGAGCGTTGGGCACAAGTAGTAGAAAACAACGGCAACTATATTGTTGATTAAATTTTGTATTGTTTAAATAAATTCGATTTTAAAAAGTATTAGAAAACGACATTAATTATTACTAGACCTAGTAGTTCTAACTGCAGTATTTGAAGCAGCCAGGTGTTTTGCTTTCTGGAAAGAATATATCTTAAGTCTATAGATAAAGATATAGGTCTGTATCTCTAGGAAGTACTTTTCAATTGGGAGGTGTGATTTTTGCCCCCATTGGTCATTTGACATGTCTGGAGGCATATTTGGTTGTCATAATTTGTATAAAGGTGTTACTAGCATGTAGTGGGTAGAGGCCAGACATCCTGCTAAATGTCTTACAGTGCACAAGAGAGACCTCCCTCCTCTACAACAGTTAATTCAGCACAAGATGTCAATAGTGTTGAGAAACTCTGCCCTAGGGATATGTTTTTGCTTGTGTTAATGTGGAAGTTTGTCCTTGAACCTGTACTGCAGTTTAGAATAATAGAATCCCTAAGTACTGGAAGGGATCCTGGAATTCGCATATTTGAACTTTATTCCAACTGTATCCCTCAGAACAGGGTTCCTCAAGATATTCATAGGTGTAATGGGAAAAAGGTGTTTATTTGTTAAATAAATTTGGTAAAGGCAAACATCTGCATAATCCAGTATGATGAAATACATTGTGGATCTCCATCAAGGAAGTGTTTGCCTGCTGAACCCATTTAACATTTTCTAGTATCCAAATGCTTCCTTGGAACTGGTAGGGAAACCATTAATTACCTAGCCCAACCTTTTATAGCAGATAGGTTCTTTTGTCTCTTTAAATTTATGGGAAAATCTTAATTTATGTTAGCCTCATCTGCATTTGTCAGATTGTGGTTTATTAGATGAATTAAAAATAGGGATATTTTAGATTTCTTATTTTGAGTGTACACTATAACTTTATTGTCTAACCCTACTTGCAAATTGGAAATTATAATCCCAGCCTGAAACATACTACTGTCCAGGGTGTTTTGAGGATTAATAATTTAATTATAGCTTTTAACGCTTTGTATTCTTAGGAGAAAGGAGACTTATTATAAGCTGTTGTGCTGTTTTTGTAAAACTGCTAAAGTTTAACAGTCTTCTCTGATTTAAATTGTTGGGCAGTGAAACTTTTAGGATTTAAAGTGAGATGAGAATAATTGTTTTAATCAACATTTTGTGGAGTATGTTCATTTTTTAAGAAAGTCACTGTAATAGTTTGCCTTACTTAAATTTTTTGGCTCTTTAAAAATTTGCATTATTTTCTTTTTGCGTCCTTCCTTTTTATTATATAAGTAATACATGTTTGTGGTAGAGACAATTATATAAGTCAGAAAACTACAGACAGAAGAATATTACCACCTACGTTTTAAACAAAAATGAGGTTATAGTATTGTTTTATTTTATAACACCTTTTAAAAAATAACAGTGAAGCAGGAACTTTTTCATGTCAGTAAATACAAGTGTGCTTTGTTATTTATTGCATAGTATTCCATTGTATGGATATTTCATAATTTAAATTGTTGGGCATTTGATTTGCTCTTTATCAGAAACATCATCATGAAATATTAAAATAAAATGAAATCTGGACATACAGTGAAAATATTTTTAAAATTTCTAAGCTTAGGTGGTGATTTATGGCAATTAAAGCTAATATTGAGTGCTAGCTAACTAGATTTGTCATGTCCATTTATGTGCTTTTTCCCCTAAGTTCTCAGGTACAGGGATCTTTTAGAGAAATATTTGCTTAATATTTTTCCTGTGCATTAAGAAGTCTCATAGAAAGTTATTTTTATATTTGCTTTTAGTCTATAGGTTATTATTTATAATAGTGCAAACATTGGGTGTTTTTGCCACGCATTAGGCTAAGTAATTGGAAATATTTCATTTAATCATCACAGCAACCTTGTGAGATAGGCTCATCTTTCATACATGAGGAAATGGCGGGAACAGTTGAAAATTTAAATGAGGGTGGAGCCATGGTGTGACCTTGGACCTACTCTTCTTAGCTGGGAATGCCTTTAGGGGTAATACTGAATCTCAGCAGTGCATTACAAGTCAACTAAGGATGATGGTTGTAGATTTTTATCTTTTTCTATTAGTAGTAGTATTTTGGTGTAGAAAGATAAAGATTTAGGAGTCAGAAATGGAATTCCTTCTGAAGAGGTTGCTTTTTCCTTTAGATACTTTAATAAAAAAATAACAGCCAACTACAATAATGAGATTAGCCGTCCAGTGTAAATGAATCAAAATTATACCTGTTGTTTGTTTTTTTTTGTCAGATCAGCAAAAAAATATATTTTTTGGTGTGCTGCAGGATTTTAGTACTAATTTTAGTGTGCCATGAGATGAAGAAGTTAGATTAAATTAAAATCTATTGGTCTGTCTTGAGCTTATTTTTACCTGTGCATGAGTTTCTAACATTCATTGGTCACTTGGTCATTTACTGTGCTTCCCAGATCTTTCAAATGTTTACACCTTTTATTATATGGTATAAAAAAATTCACATTTATTGATAGCAGTAGTGTATTTAATTAGAAATGACTTTTTAAAGTAATGGAATATGTTCAAGTTCATGATGGTAGATAAAAGTTTTCAAATACTTATTTTTGCTTGAAAACTCAGATTTTATAAATTGACAATAAACATTGCCAGTAGTTTTTCTTGAAGTGACAGGTTCACTTTGTTCATTTTTGGGAAAATGTCTGCTAACTACATAGTTCTGCCAACTAAAAATTGTGTTAGATGAGAAAAGCTTCTAGTTCAGCTTACAATACAGTTGTACAAGTGCTTTTTCTCAGACTACTACTTTTTGTTAACTCTTACCTGAGGATTTTTTCCCATTGATTTTTTTTTTGTGTGTGTGTGAGAGAGAGGGAGAGAAACATTGATGTGAGAGAGACACATTGATTGGTTGCCTGTTGCACGTGTCCCGGCTGGGGCTGGAGGTAGGACCTTTAACCCAGATATATGCCCTTGATTGAGAATCCAACCCAAGACCCTTCAGTGGGTGTACCAGGGCTCTAACCACTGCGCACAGACTTACTAAAGCTTCAGAAGTAATTTATGCGTACTTTCCCTTTTATCACAAAGAATATTTTAAAAAGTAAAGAGGAGAGATTTAACAAATTTATAATTTTCATAATTTTGTCAAGGACATTGATAAATGGAACTAGTTTTCTTAAAAAATCCTAACCTGAGGACACGTTTATTGATTTTAGAGACAGGAAGATATAGGAAGCGGTGGAGGGAGAGAGAGAGAGACACGGATAGATAGACATTGATGTGAGAGAGAGACATGAATCAGTTGCCTCCTGTATATGCCCTGACCGGGAATTGAACCTGCAGTCTTTCTGGTACACAGGTGCTCAGCCTTGTTTTTGTACTCTCATTGCAAATATCAACACACAAAAAAATAAAAAGGCAAATAAGTTTTTAGTGTTACTGTGAAAATACCTCTGGTGGACCCTTGAAATGGTCTTTGAGCTCCCAAGAAGTCTGTAAACCACACTTTCAAGAACATTTGGCTTAGTTCTTTACATAGATTTTCTTTTGCTCTCAAACCAAATAGAGGCAAATGACAGGCTTTTAGCTTAGGTTACTAAGTGAAAGCAATACCATTACCAGAGATAATAAATGTAGTTGAAGAGTAAGTATTGAAAGAAGAAAGTGAATTTTGAGTTCCAGGGAGCTTAAGAAACACAGAGGTGGGAATGCTGACTAGTGCAGCTCAGCAAGTTTTCCTGAGTATTAGGCCTCACTAAACATACTAGAGGCGTCACTGTACTAATACATAGTAGTAGTTGTTGAGAAGGAAGTGGGTTCAGAGAGAGGAGGACAGAAGAAGGAACCTTGGTATCAAGGATATCAGGAAAGGAGAGTTTCAAGAATGATTGATTGGTCAGGCAGGACTGGTTTGGCTCAGTGGATAGAGCGTTGGCCTGCTGACTGAAAGGTCGCAGGTTCGATTCTGGTCAAGGTCATATACCTTGGTTGCGGGTACATTTCTAGTAGGAGGTGTGCAGGAGGCAGCTGATCAATGTTTCTCTCTCATGGATGTTTCTAGCTCTCTATCCCTCTCCTTTCCTCTCTATAAAAAATCAATAAAACATATTTAAAAAAAAAGAATAATTGGTCAGCACTACCTAATGCTTTAGAGAAGTCAAATAGATTGGGGATTGAGACTTGACCATTGAGATTTGATGAGATTATTGGTAACTTTTGACTTTTGCCTGAGAGGTAGGAGCCAGATTAGAATGCAGAGGCAGCTATTTATATTATTCTTTTAGGAAGTTTTGGAGTGAAGGGAAGAGACAACTTGGGCAATTAATTTGAGAAGTGGTTGTACTGAGGACAGTGGAAGAAAGTTGACAAGTGTGACACAGTTAAGCTTATAGTATGAACTGTCTTGCCGAGAAATGAGAAGCTGGTGAACACTGGATTGTTTGGCCAGAAAAATACACAGATTTATGACATTTGGCATACAAACTTTTTGATAGGGATGGAGAATTCCTTACTAATTCTTTTGTGTTTAATTGCTAGGTGTTTAGTTTGCTTCATTTGCTTTAAATCCACTAATTTTAAGAAGTTTAAAGAGATTTTTCTCTTAAATGCGGGTGATTTGACTTTAATAATCTATGATTCTCTCACTGTGTAACTTCTGTTTTAGCTACTTTCAAACTGGTAACAAGTGACAAAAAAAAAAGGTGGAATTCTTTCTTTGTATAGAAAAGTGTGTATATGTGCTCTCCTTCTCCCTCCTTCCCTTCCAGCCCTCCCCCTCACTCCCCTAATGAAGGATATTTAGGTCTCCAGAGTAAATGACTGGAGGAAGAGTTTGGATTATAGCCTCAAGGAGTATTTGTATTAAAAATGTTGTTGTCTAGTATGCTTGTATTTCTAACTTCCTTTTGTTCTTTTTTTTCCTAGTCTGTTCTCTGGGGAGGCAGAAAGGGGCCGTGGAGCTGGCCTCGGCACCGGGAGAGGCTGGACTTCCTGTCTCTCTGTGCTGAATGGCTGCGATGGCGCCCGCTCTCACTGACGCAGCAGCTGAAGCACACCATATCCGGTTCAAACTGGCTCCCCCATCATCCACTTTGTCCCCTGGCAGTGCCGAAAACAACGGCAACGCCAACATCCTTATTGCTGCCAACGGAACCAAAAGAAAAGCCATTGCTGCAGAGGATCCCAGTCTAGACTTCCGAAATAATCCTAAGGAAGATTTGGGAAAGCTGCAACCCTTGGTGGCATCTTATCTCTGCTCCGATGTAACACCTGTTTCCTCGAAGGAATCGTTGAAATTGCAAGGTGTCTTCAGCAAGCAGACAGTCCTTAAATCTCACCCTTTCTTATCTCAGTCCTATGAACTCCGAGCTGAGCTGTTGGGGAGACAGCCAGTTTTGGAGTTTTCCTTAGAAAATCTTAGAACCATGAATACCAGTGGTCAGACAGCTCTGCCACAAGCACCTGTAAATGGGTTGGCTAAGAAATTGACTAAAAGTTCAACACATTCTGATCATGACAATTCCAGTTCCCTCAATGGGGGAAAACGAACTCTTACTTCATCTTCTCAGGGGGGTGAAATGGTGGCATCTGAATCAGCGGACTTGAAGGGGGGTATGACCAATTGCACTCTTCCACATAGAAGCCTTGATGTAGAACACACAACTATATTTAGCAATAATAGCACTGCAAACAAATCTTCTGTAAATTCCATGGAACAGCCAGCACTTCAAGGAAGCAGTAGATTATCACCTGGCACAGACTCCAGTTCTAATTTGGGGGGCGTCAAGTTAGAGGGTAAAAAGTCGCCCTTGTCTTCCATTCTTTTTAGTGCTTTAGATTCTGACACAAGGATAACAGCTTTACTACGGCGGCAGGCTGATATTGAAAACCGTGCCCGCAGATTACAGAAGCGCTTACAGGTTGTGCAAGCCAAGCAGGTGGAAAGGCACATTCAGCATCAGCTGGGTGGATTTTTAGAGAAAACTTTGAGCAAACTGCCAAACTTGGAATCCTTGAGGCCCCGAAGCCAGTTGATGCTGACTCGAAAGGCTGAGGCTGCATTGAGAAAAGCTGCCAGTGACACCACCACTTCAGAAGGACTTAGCAACTTCCTGAAAAGTGATTCCATTTCAGAAGAATTGGAGAGATTTACAGCTAGTGGTATAGCCAGCTTGAGGTGCAGTGAACAAGCATTTGATTCAGATGTCACTGACAGTAGTTCAGGAGGAGAATCTGATATTGAAGAGGAAGAACTGACCAGAGCGGATCCTGGGCAGCGCCACATACCTCTGTGAGTAGAACCCATGCATAATGACATTCTTGAGAGGGAACACAGGGGAAAGACTTGGAATTCTCATTATGGGGAGTATGGGCTTCTTTGTTTATAAGTACCTAGGTTCCATTTGTTTTTTCCTAATTTTAGGTAGGTGAGTGCATACACTTGTTAGTGAAATGGATAGTATAGTGTCGTGTTGCTAATTTCTTCTTAAAACTAATTTATTAAACATAGACATCTATTTGTAAAACTGTATCTATGCTGAGTGAATAGATTTTTTTTTTTTTTTTTAAACTGGACATAAGATATATGACTTGACTTCAGAATTTGTTCCTTCTAGTAGATGGGGACAGAAATTTAGTTGACCTAGTTCACTTTGCTGGAGTTTATAGTTGGTTTAATGAGCTTTCAGCCAAGAATATACCCAGTCTTCACTTTTAACACTTGAGATTTCCTCTCCTTTTAAAGGACTCATAATCAGAAAATGCTCTGAGTATTTTATAGGTTACATCTAAGCACAATCCACTTTTTCACAACCTGATTCTTTACCTAAAATAGCCCATTTTTATCAGATTTGGATTTTATTTTCTCTCAGCTAAGTAAATGTATTGACTTATTTAGGATAAATGCTTACTGGTATTTCCAAGTCTGTTTGAGGAAAATTTTGCATAAGCTTTGGGTGGCACTCAGTTGGTGTGGTGGAGCTCATATTCTTCCCTCCTAATTCTGCGTTTGTCTCCACATATATAAAAAAGGAAGTACAGAGTATAAATATCAATATAAAGATAAATCAGTCACCGGGACCGGTTTGGCTCAGTGAATAGAGCATCGGCCTGCGGACTGAAAGGTCCCGGGTTCCGTTCTGGGCAAGGGCATGTACCTGGGTTGTGGGCACATCCCCTGGTTGCGGGCACATCCCCAGTGGGGGGTGTGCAAGAGGCAGCTGAACGATGATTCTCTCTCATCGATGTTTCTAACTCTCTATCCCTCTCTCTTCTCTGTGAAAAATCAATAAAATATATATTTTTAAAAAAAGGTAAATCAGTCTATTTAAAAAAAAAATTCTCAAGGATATGTTTTTATAAATATAAAGTTAAATCAGTCTACTTTTAAAAAAAATTCTCAATCAAGGATATGTTTTTATTGATTTGATAGAGAAAGAGAGAGAGAAACATTTATGTGAGAGAAAAACACAGGTATTTTAGGAATCAGTTTCCCATATGCACCCCAACCTTGTTATGTGTGCTGACAACCTTTTGGTGTACAGGACAGCACTCCAACTGACTGAGCCACCTGGCAGAGGGAATATGCTCATTGACCCTCACACTGTCACAAATTGCCAGTGCCCACAACCAATAAGGATGGAATATGCTAATTGACGGTCATACCCTCAGAGATGGCGACACCCAGTCCCCTCATCCCTGCTGGGGCAGCAGGTGTGTGGCAAGCCTGGGGGCAGGCCCCCCCCCGCCCCCCTGCACCTGCCTCCGTAGGCACCCAGTTCCCTCAACCCCCCCCCAATCCCCCAGCTGCCAGGGCTGCCTGAGGCTCGGAACCAGGGCCAGCCGAGGCTTGCGCTTCCGGTAGTGGCAGCAGCAGAGGTGTGATGCGGCATCGCCTTCCCCTGATTGCCGGTCACCTTCTGCCCCTTGAGGGCACCTGGATTTTGAGAGGAGGCAGGCTGGGCTGAGGCCCCCCCCCCCCCCCCCCATGCATGAATTTTCATGCACCAGGCCTCTTGTGGAAAAGGGAAACATAATTTGAATAGTTAATTAGCAAATCCTCTCTCATTTCTACTTTGGGTAGGGATTTTGTAAAAGTTGGATTACTAGAGAAGGCTCAAATAGGTGGCTATGTTGGAATAATTGTTTTTTCTTGCTTGTAGTAAAAAGGTAACTAAGATTTTCACTGGAGACTTAATTGAGATAGCTGTACTTTTAAGTTTAAGTAAATTTTTTTTTCTTAAATGGATTACTAGTTTACATTACCTTGTGAATATTTGTGGCATTATCCCTACTGACTTGGCTGCATAAACCATTGCTACAAAAAAAAAACAAAAACAATGATGTTAGCCCTATCTATCTGGTTTGGCTAATGGATAGAGTGTTAGCCTGTGGACTGAAGGGTCCTGCCTGGGTTTGATTCCAGTCAAGGGCGCATGCCTGGTTGCAGGCTTGATCCCCAGGAGGGGATGCAGGAGGCAGCCAATCAATGATTCTCTCTCATCAGTGATGTTTCAATCTCTCTCTCCTCCCATCCTTTCTCTGAAATCAATAAAAATATATTAAAAATTCTTAGTTAATAGATTTTTTGTGTGTTTTAGAGTAATTTCATATAACTAATACTGTAGTTGAAACAAGTTACGTTTCATGTGCTTGTTTTGTGTATTTTGAGAAAATAATCTAGAAGCTTACTGTTTTTAGGATAACTTGTATTTTAAAAGTTTTTAAGTTTTGGTAATGTGGGTAACTTCTAATCCAGTGAAATAAAAATAACTAGGAGAGAAATTTTTTTATTCCATGGGATAATCTAGTGATTTAAAAAGACCTTTGTCTAGTCACTCACTACTTAGCTCTGGGCCTTCTCATGTATTGGTTTTGTTGACTTGGAAGAGTGTGAAGTGCAAGGACAGTTCACAGATATTTTAGGGATCAGTTTAACCCACTTACAGTTTAAGTAAGAAAAAATGGAGAACTAAAGATACAGTGAATAGCCGAAACCGGTTTGGCTCAGTGGATAGAGCTCCTTCCCAAACTATCCAAGTTATAGTTCATGAAAAAAATGAGCCCTAACCGGTTTGGGTCAGTGGATAGAGTGTCGGCCTGCGGACTGAAAGGTCCTGGGTTCAATTACAGTCAAGGGCATGTACCTTGGTTGTGGCCACATCCCCAGTAGGGGGTGTGCAGGAGGCAGCTGATCGATGATTCTCTCTCATCGATGTTTCTAATTCTCTATCCCTCTCTTCATCTCTGTAAAAAATCAATTAAAAAAATATATATAAAGATACTGTGAATAAATATACTTTTGCACATTTTTATGTAATTGATTCAAAATTAAAGGCACCAATAAAGCACCACTACTTCAAAGACCTTGTTGAGCAAGGTCATTAGATTGACTCCTAATGCAAGTATCTAGCCATATATATATATATATATATATATATATATATATATATATATATATATATATATATATAGAGGGAGAGAGAGAGAGAGAGAGAGAGAGAGAGGGAGAGAGAGAGATTTTGAGAGATTTGTTGTTCCATTTATTTATGCATTCATTGGTTAATTCTTGTATGGGCCCTGACCAGGAATCGAACCTCCAACCTTGGTGTATTGGGAGGATGCTCTAACCAACTGAGCTACCCAATCAGGATGGTGTGTGTTGACATGAGTGTTTTAAGATTTTTCAGTAATTGGCCAGACAATGAGAGGGAAGGTGTTGCTTAAAAAAGAAAAAAAGGGGAAGTCTTTGAATCTTAGTCATTTAGTAGTCTATTCCAAATCCTATAACCACATTTAGAATTCTTGAGTCCTAGAATAAATAAAACTGGTGAGTTTCAACTTGTTTTCACTTTCTGGTAGTCTGTCTAATATTTCACTCCTTCACTGAAGTACTTCTGCCAGAGATAAAGTTGATCCTGTATTAAATATTTTCAGCCATGTTAAAAATATTTAGTACAGGAGACTGTTGAAATTAATTGTTTTGAAATAATGCTGTTTAAATTATAAGTGAATTGTTCTGTGAAAATTGCAAGCCTTCACTAAGAATTCATTTATTTTTTTCTAACTCTCAAGAGGAAAAACTAAGTCCTAGACACATGATAGCAGTAGCAGAACGATTGATTTTTACATGTTGAGTTTTTGGCAAATTGTTTATCATTGTATAGGGGCCCAGTGCAGGGATTCATGCACCTTGAAATGAACTATGGGCTGTGGTGGACACAGGGGGTCTTGGCTCATCCTCTGTACCCCTGCCTGCCCAACACCCCCCCCCCCCCCCCCCCCACGTCTCTCCAGTTACCTGAGGTGGATACTCTTGGTGCACCTCTTTCTGGACCGTGTGCACAGCCTTGCTGTAATTAAGTCTTGATTGTTGTTGGTATCACTGGGAGGAATTGACCTCCAGGCCAATTAGCTGTGAGGATCCGCTGTGTCTACACTGGGAGAACTTGTGTGCCGGAGACACCCTTATGAGACAAGACTTTCAAAATTGTAAAAGCCTCTGTGCTCAGCTTGGATGGGGCAGAGTCTCAGGGCGAAGCAGACTGCCTTGGCTTCCTGACGGCCCTGCCCTATGAGGTCCCTGTGTCTCAGTGTCCCTCGATAATGGCTGCAAGCACCTCTGAGAGAAAGCCATCCTTGAGTTTCGCCCACTGCCTTACAGTCCAGTTTCTCTCCAAATGAGTATGGGTTCCCAGAAACCTGCCTGGAACTGGAGATCAGCAATCAGCAGTCAGTCCTCTCTGTGCGCGTGTGCGTTTCTGTACCTTTGCCTTCCGCAGCTCCCCTGAGTCTCACTGTGCTTTCTCTTTTCCTGACAGCCCAGATTCTCCCCAAATGAGTCTGGTTTCCCAGAGTCTCGCCTGTGACTGGAATTCAGAGCAGTTGGGAGATTCCATATCTCCCCCTCCCCCCCTTTTAGAAAGCCAGCCATGCACTCAGCTATCTGTCCTCTCCTTGCGCACATCTCTGTACCTCAGTCTTTTGCAGCTCCTCTGAGCCTCGGTGTGCTTTCCTCTTTCCTTCTAGTTGTAGAATTTCCACTCAGCCAGCTTTCCTATGGTTTTTGATGGTGTCCGTTTCGTCTTTTAGTTGTAGTTTTGATATTGTGCAAGGCACCAGTTTAGGTGTTTACCTATGCCGCCATCTTGGTTTCTTCCTGTAATCACTTTTCTAATAAAAGAGAACTGACCTTGTTGATCTCTAGGGCTCAAAGTACTTTGAATTGTGTTACTATATCTTTAAATAACATTGATGACAAAAGTCTCTAAGTCACTGGTGTAACTTGAAACA